CACATTTTGACCTTGAAGAAGCAGCTGTGCAGAACAGATGAACCTGAGCTCGCTGAGTTTGTGTCAGATTGAGAAAGCATCAGAGAATAAGTGAACGGGGACATCAGAGAGAGACATGCATGTATCTATGCTGTGACCTGGTTAATCTCTCATCACTTATTAATGGAGACTCCTTTCTGCCAAAGTAACATTGCAAGTCTATATACTGTCAGGCCTCTTTCCATCAGGCTTCCTTTCTTCTCCACTGGTGTCTACATATAAGCTGATGTGCTTCTCTAATTATATCTCACATTTATTTTCAAAGGGACAAGGCAAGAATAAGATGAGAAGTGATGCATTAAATCAGGGATGGGCCGATACGATACTGGTATCGGTATCGGTGCCAATACAGATACTGATACCAGTATCGGTATCAATCAATCAATCAATACTTTATTAATCCCAGAGGGAAATTAGAGTTTCAGTACACACAATTAAGAGATCAGACATACATGGGCAAGACACATGACAAGAATTGGTGACTGTGGTCATTCGTAACCTTGAGTCGCGCTACCTTAATAGAGATCAGAGGGTTACATGAGGATTGGTTCAGGTGGAGGAAAAAAAGGCACTTCAGAGTTACCCTCCACCAGGAGGGCAGCTTTGCTCTGCAAAAAAACACCTCAACAAATATGCAACAGACTTCAGACAACACAACATGAGACTCCAATAGGAAGGCGGGGGGGGGGCTGGGATCCTGATTCCCCCAACGAGAGCAGCCATCTACGGCGCTCATCTGCTGTACAGTCACAGGTGGGAGGGAGATCTTGGGAGAAGCGAAGAGTACATTAACTCCTGCAGATTGATGACCTCGCCAGGCTGAAGTCCACCAGTCCGAAGGGGGGTGGGGGGTGGGGGGTGGGGTCGGGTTTTCACAGCATCTGTCTGCATTCCTCCGTGGGGGTTTGCTGTTTGCCGCTCAATACTACCAGGGCGTCAGATTCAGATAACAAGACTTTGTTTGGGTCAGGCTGAGATAATTTTCCTCTCTGCCTATCGGTAAAAGTTAACAGATGCCAGTAACTGATACCAATGCAGTTGCTTGAAAGTGACTTCACTGTAACTTGTCATTTCTGTTCACCTAATATTTTTGTTTTGTGATCATTTATATTACTTTTATCTACCTCACCATCTTTTCCTATTGAAAACAGAAGAAAAGAAAACCTGTATTCCAATTCATTGCATTTTTTTGTGTGGTAGAAGTATCTGTATTGGTAATCGGTATCGGCGAGTACTCAGATCCAAGTATCGTATCGTATCGGTTTGGAAAAAAGTGGTATCGTTGCATCCCTACATTAAATGTCATGAAGCCAGAGTATAATGCTAAGACCACATAATACTGGGTGATCAGGAAAAGTTGTATTAATTTTCAACCTCTTGACATGCAGATGCTCTGTTTTATGAAGTGTTAAAGATTCAGTCAAAGGCTTGAAATTTGATTTTAGAAAGTTTAAGTTTTAAACAATTTCCTGTAGTTTTTTTTTGTTTTTGTTTTTGCTTAGAACAAAATATAAGTTGGCAGCAGGAGGTAGAACGGGTTGTCTAGTATTAGGAAGGTTGTAAGTTCAGTCCTGGTTCTCGGCAGAGAATTCTGCTGTTGCGTCCTTGAGCAAGACACAACCCACCTTGCCTGCTGGTGGTGGTCGAAGGGGCTGATGGCACCTGTTCTCGGAAGCCTCGCCTCTGTCAGTGTGCCCCAGGGCAGATACAACGTATACAGGCTACAATATATCTCATCACTACAAATGAATGAATGGATGTGTGAATGGATGAATGATGCATTGTAGTGTAAAGCACTTTGGAGTCCTCTGACTATGAAAGTATACAACTGCGGGTCATTTATCATTATCATAAAACGTGCCTGCAGCAAAATATTTAAAGAAATTTGACACGCTTTACCCTATTTTGGTAAAGTGTGTAAAGAGTGACTGATCGTGTTTTTTTTAAAACTAGCAGCTAGAAGGAGCCTAAGTCTCCTCCCTTTCCGGTCGGCTTGTGGGTCCCCGGAAGAACGAAAAAAAATGAACGCAAGTCAACGGGGCTAAAAGAGCCGTTTTCTAATCGGCTTTGCCTTACGCCCTGGATCGCAGATATGTTCTACTGCAATTTAAATTAAAAGTACTTTGGAGACTAAACGAGATGAGAGAACTGAAGTCACACATTGGAACGGGAGGAACGTGAGACAAGCAGATTCAGACGCGTAAACAAAAAAAAAACCTGGTTGTGGTTGTTGTTTATTTGTGGACTGCTGAGCATGCAGACAGGCTTCATCGCAACTCACACCCCCACACTTTCAGCTATGTTGTCTGCTCCTTTACGCTTCAGCTGGCCACACACACACTCATCCTGCAAGGCCGAGCAAACAGCCATAATTCTCCGAGCAAAAACAGAGCAGGGACACTCTCCACATCTTCTGACATCAATTATTAAGTATCACTCGCTGTTTTATCGGTTCAGTGGATGTGGACTCATGTGGAGCATAAACTCTGGCCTCATTACTGAATGTTTCTCAACCTGATCTAAAGTAGAAACCATCCACGATGAGACTCATCGGCTAAGCATTTAACAGGAAAGGTTCAATCAAAAATACAGATTTCTGCTAGAAGCAAGAAGACAAATGACTTTACAAAAGAGTGACGAACTATAATCTTAACCAAAGTTAAACTCCGATACCAAAAGACCTACAGAAAAATATTTACTGTGGGAAAACACCAACGTTGCCGGGTCAGCATGCAGCCCAATATGTCAGAGCCGGAGGGACGGCCACCAGAACGACACCAGAAGCTGACTTTACCAGATTTTTTATTTATTTGATCTCTTTTTTAGCTCCCTTTTTATGAATCCAAATAGCTTGTAACATACCAAAAGGGTCAATTTTCACCTATATATTGACCATCCACAGCATAAATCCATTTTCTATGTGACCTTCTAAATCCAGAAGGTTCTGCTCAGCGCGTGTTGACACTCCATGAAGACAAAACATTCAAATACACACTCCCTCCCAAGGTTCCTGCACTCTCTGTGAAAGCCAGACAACATTCTTCACTCTGAATAAGTGAAGACTCCATGATTTCATAGTTATAAGTTAAATAATCATATGCGATGAATGAATAAGATGTTTGAATGAAACGTTTGAATAATCTAGTACGTTTGCTCCAAATGTTTTTCTTTATCTTCTGCTCTTTTTGTCCATTTGTTCATAAAAAAAAGGCTGCAGAGAAGTTGTTTCAAGTTCATTTATCAAAAAAAATAAAGTAAGAACCTCCCATCCTCCTTCCCTTCATCCTCTGGCTGTCCTTTACTTCTCAGATAGGCCACGGTTCGTTATGCTAATTAACTCCAGTTCTTCCAGGAACTTTTTCTTCTCATATCTTGCAGTCAGGGATTTGCATGATCAGGCTCTCGTGGGATCAAATAGCCACTGAGCGTCCTCCGTGTTTGTGTTTGCTCTCCCGTCACCATCCCTCCTTTCTATTCTAACAGAATAAACAGAGCTGTTGTTTGTTTTTGCCTTCCCCTCTTTTATCTTTATTCATACATGCGTCGGTGTTTGTGAGTTTATGCATAATCAGCAGCTTAATAGAGTTTCTGCAGAGTTTCATAGCTCAACTCACATCAGATCAAATCACATGATAATGAACTGAAAGGATGCTTAAAGAATTTGAAATATATATAAGGAGAGAGTGTTCTCTGCTCTGAGGAGAAGAATCAAATTGTGAATGTGAAAGAGCCAGAGGGAGCTGGTCTTGGATGCTGAGACACATGAGGATAACAAACAGCGTCGGGCTTTTAGGTCGATGTTATAAAATGTTGAGACGTTCCATCTCCCTGAATTCTGATGCAAAGCTGCCTGCAGATCACTTGCAAGCTCAAAGACGTGGACATGATCAATATTTTTCAGCTTTTTTTCAATGTGGATTGTTTTTAGTCCGTTTTTGACTATTATTAATATTCATTGAAACAATAAAACATTTTATTGTGGAGTTTGTTTGTTTTTTTGCAGTTTTTGATGTAGATTCAAACACAGAGCCTCGTTTAAATGGTGGAATTATTTTTAAAAGCTGCAAATAATCAAAAGAAATCTCATTGTCTGAATGAAAATCATCCCAGCATATGAAGAATCTACCAAATCTGCTCCAATGTATTCGTTATATGATCATTAAAAAGAAACAGAATATGTAGAATAATATTGAAAAATCGGGTGTTTCTTTTTGCGAATGGAAATACTTTTCTTTGTTTTTCCTCAAACGTTTTTTAAGGTTAACTCATTCACTGCCAGCCGTTTCCTGAGCGCTAATGGCCTTCGCTGCCAGCGTTTCTCACCGTTTTTACTGTTTTTTTAAGAGTCACAGAACGTTGCGTGCTAGGATGATGTCGATGCCAAAACAACCAAAACAAAGAGGAGACTCACCTCTTACATCAGGAAGAATCATAATCCTTGTCAAATTGTGATTAGGAATGGGGAATGATTAGAAGGACACCTGAGGGAAGTCTACAGAGGGCTGGGGATAATAATGGGACACAACAGGAAAACCTGGCGTGGGAACTGGAGGGGCTGGGGAACAAAGGGACACAGAACATGGCAGACGAGACCGACAACTGCATGGCCCAATAGTTGCTTTTGAAATATTTGATTGGTTGAGGTTTTTAGACAAATGCGAAAAAAATTATCTCTACAATATATTTATAGCTATATTACGTTAGAATGTTGTTAAGAGGTATTCAAAAAATTTTAAGATAACTTAATATCCAAATTTGCCATTGTAGCTTAAAGAAAAATGTCATAATATGTCCTCTTTAAAGTAATATTGTGCACCAAAAACACATTTTGAACCTCACTCCTCCATCAAAGGCTACACTTTTGTAGTCACACACATAATTTCCAGCTTTCTCTAAACGTCTTGGTCTGATTAATGACCTGAAATTGCTGTTTTGTCTCCTTTGATCTGTTCCTCCTGCAGCAGGCCGATGAAAAGATGGTCGATGGTGGCCTGCTGGGAGACGCCAACGGTGTGGAGCCCGCGCCAGGCAGAGTGAAGAGTTCTGGGAAGTGGCAGAAGCCGCGGTTCTCCAGGAAAGCTCTAATGAAGTGCTGCCTGGTGAAATGGATCATCGCCAGCACACAGCCGCAGGACAAAGGTGAGACACAGACTGATCTGGGGAGAATGCGGAGCAACCCACGGTGTGGGTTAGCACAGAGTCTAAGACAGACAAAGATTGATTTTTGACCCGAACGGATGGATCTCTGCCGGCCCGCCGAGGCCCCCGTGGGCTTGGCTGAGTCCATTGTGTGGAGCAGCTGCCCTCGGGGTCAAGTAAACAGAGATCTAGTCACACGCAGATTATCACCAAATTCTGAATTCTTCCATAATTCTTCTTTTTGCCTTTTTCTTGTGTAGGAAAATGTAGGAACAACATACACAGTTCTGGATCACAAAGCTCGACTGTTTAGCTGCATAAACACATTTCATAGCTACAAATGATTTTATTGCCCCAGGATTCTGCAACTAAATAAGTACCTCAATTAAAAGCAAAGAAATGTAATATTTAATGTCATAATCAGGATAATTAAGATGTTTTCATCCTCAGGTTTGCAGGATTGTTATAAAATATGTGTTGTGGGATTAATGAGGTGTTTTCCTTAACTGGGTTGGTGCTCCATCCAGTGGTCCAGCTGGGACTTCACATGGAAGGTTTTTATTGTCAACAGGAAGAAGAAGAGTTGGAATGACAGCTCGCCCTTCCTGCTGAGTGCTCTGTGTTGCTGTTTTGAAGACATTGTGTAATCCTTCCACTTTTATCTTCTTGTGACTATTTTAGCTGCAGCACTATCAGTCATCAGATCCTCCAGCTTTTCTTTCTTTCCTCATCTTTGACTCTTATTGACTCATTTTTATTTCTTGTTTAATCCTTATCTTTGTATTTTATTCTATTTTTGCTCTATTTTGCCTTTTTCTTTCCTTTTTTCACATTTTGTTTTCACTCTTCCGGTTTCCTCTCTCAGAATTTTCTTGTGTCGTTGTCATGCAGTGAAGCTGAGCACACGCAGAGCTCCGTTATCTGATGGCTCCTTCTTTCTTCTCATGTTGTAACAATAAGCAACTTGGTTGGAAGTGGAGGAGGTTATTCCTCCACAAACTCCGAGCTGTAAGTACAGCGTCAGTCTGTCAGCGTGCGCCCTTATCCCGCTCAAACTGACCACCACCCTCCGCACTGATACGTATCTCCAGCTCAGCTATTTTTAGACACAATCGAGATGAGGGTTTGATGAGAGCCAAAGCTCAATCTCTTTTTTCGCTGCACTTCTAAGATGAAATGAAGCTCCTTGTTCTGTTTCATTCCTAAAAAGAGGGTTGTCCTTAAAGCTGCAGGCAAACAGTTTAAAAAAAAAACAATCTGAAGGATTAGACAAAACTTTGAAAAACTAATCGCTGCATCCCAACTCATTAGCAACAAGGAAACCAGCATATCCAGTAAGATAAAGCTTGGTTTATGCTTGACGCGTCCGCGATGTTCGCACGGCTCCGCGTGGAAAAGTTGCATCATTTTAACAAGCAGAACCATCCAGAAAGATTAGTTTCGTAATATCTTTACATATTATGAGAATTTTAGTCCTGCTCTATCTGTCTTCTTTTATTGCAGCTGAAGCAGCTGCTAGCAATGTGTACCGAATTCGGTACTTTTTAAGGTACCGACCGAATTCCACAGTACCGACCTAGCATCGATTCACGTCATTTGAAACGGTGCCTCGTTTCGGTACCCGTCCTTCATAACGAGAACTTGCCTAGACAGCTGCGCATGCGCAAGAGCGTTATGTCGTCGGTTGCTGCGAGCGAGTTGTAAACAGAGCAGCATGGTAGAAAGAACGCACGCTAAAGCTTGGGTCCACTTCACTAAATGTGATGGGTAACTGGGTGATGATGAAACCAGCGACAACGGTCTAAGTGAGACATCCTCATCTGAATCTGCTCCGGTAGGTAAATAAAATGTTTAAGATAACGTTAGCTTGATATGTTAGCTTCCGTTTTGCTAATGGTGCGATCGCTTTCTCCTCTGAACTCCGAATTTCCGACTAGAAGAACATGAACGCGCTCTAAAGTTTGGCTTCACTTTACTAAATGCGACGGGTGATTGGGTGAAGATGAAACCAGCGACAACGATCTAAGTGTGAGGTATCATCGTTTTAATCTGCTCCAGCAGCTAAATAAACTGTTTAAGATAACGTTAGCTTGATATGTTAGCTTCCATTGCCACCATTGTTATCATCTAATGGTGCGTTCGCTTTCTCCTGGGAAATTCTAACTTCCCAGTAGGAAAAATCAAATGAAAACGGACGGTAAAAGGAATGAAGATACACAGTAAATTTAGTTCACAGTAAAGATGTTTGCTTCAGTTTAATTATCAGCTTATAAAACTACAAGGACGATGTTAAAATACAAACAGTTGTATGTTATTTATCGTGATATTTATCAAATATGGTTATATATTGAGAAATATATATATTTAATTATAAAAGAGAATTAAAATATTAAACATTCAAAAGTATCGAAAATTGGTACCGTTAAGTACCGCTATCGATTCCTAGGTACCGGCAATTAGTACCGGATCGATTCAAATGTCAAAGGTACCCATCCCTAAGCAGCTCCTCTTTTATTCTCACCCTCTTTCCTCCTCATTCACCTTCTTCTCTTCTTCATTTTCATTTTGTCCTACTGATGCTGTTGTAGATCTGCTGGTGTCTATTTTTTGTCCCAGATCCTTCCATGGTTTGCAGAGACAGGTGGGGACACCTCAGGGTGCAGTGTTTGCACCTCCTCTTTAGGGAGGCAGCAGGAGACAGGAGTTGGTGATGGATGCTCCCTGCTGAGGGAAAAATTGCTTTATTTTGCTTCCGGCTAAGTTTATCTTCTCTGAATCGTCTGTCGTCCTGACAGTTCCCAGTTTGAATCTCCGTAATCGTGCCTCACTCACGTTGCTTTCAGGTTTCTGATTCATTAGCTGGACCTAATTCTGCGTTCAGCTGGAAAGAAAAGGAGGGATAAATATTTGGATTTTGAGTGATGAGAGATGATAGGCGTGGAAAAGACAACCAGGGAAGAGTGAGAGGAGAACTGAGCTTTAGGGCTGGCTTTGAACCTGTCTGGATCAGGTGGTTTCATGAAAAGCAGATTTTCTCCTGTGGAAGACAGACTGGGTTTTCTTTTAATTGGAGCACATCAAGAGGTGAGACAGGAGTTTCAGGAGAGGGGAAAGCTCCTATTCTCCCCCTGACGATAATTTCTGCAGCTTGTATAGATGGTTTGGGGTATTAGAGCAAGATTAGATGTCTGGGGTGTTGTTTATGGAATGTGAAAGGAGCTTTTTTGGTCAAGAGGAGCAATCTGAAGCTGAGTTTTTATCCACGATCCTTGCAGGATGTGTGGTTTAATTAGCTCTCCCTGGTCCGATTGGTGCCTATTTTAAAACACCACCTATAAATGTTTCAACAGTCTGTAGCCAGTATCTCTGGCTCACTCAGCAGCAGTTTGTGAGTTTGTGAATCCACGATCAGCAAAAGAGGTTGACCCATACATCCATTTTCTTCCGCTTATCTGAAGTCGGGTCGTGGGGCAGCCCAGACTTCCCTCTCCCCAGCCACTTAGGCCAGCTCTGCCGGGGGAATCCTAACGCCAGGGACACACCGGCCGCCGAAGCGCCGGGAGGCGAAGCGCTCATGAAATTCGGCCGCTGCTCGCTGCTCCTCAGTTCAGACCAGACGCTTGTTTCTCCGCTCCGGTCCGCGCCTCGTAGTTTTTCTTTTAACCACTTGGTGTCCTCCATTTCCTCTATGCCTTTTCTCTGCTCTTTTCCTCTTCACCCCCCTCCCCCATGCTGTTTGTGTGTTATGTGTTTGTACCATTCAAAAGATTTGATTCGTTCGTGAACGTTACATCACTATTACCATAATTTCCGGACTATAGAGCGCACCTCAATATAAGCCGCACCATCAAAAAAAAGGTTTTCTACACACACACCGTACTCGAATACAAGCCGCGGCGCAGCAGCCACATGCAGGTCTCCGGCGCACAGTGCATGTAAGGCCATGACATAAGATAATTAGACAGAAAGACGCTACACGGAGGTTTTTCATTGTTGTTTTAACTCAACAAAACACATTTTAAACACGGGTGAACGTGCCTGCAAGTTTAGAAAAGAAAACAGCACTGATAGCATTCATATTTCTGGATGTTATAAAATAAAAACAGCACTGACACATTATTACCGTATATTTTTTATATTTATCTCGCGGGCCACATAAAAATTCTCTTGAGTCTGACATATGTGGCTTAGATAGACGAGAAGCGTGTGGGAGGGGTGAGCCGGGGTAAGTTCAGGTAATGATTGTAGAGCGGTAGAGGTGAATGAGGAATGGGATCCGGACCGGTGTGGTTCTGGAGTGGGAGCGAGAGGTGGAGGAGATCAGGTCGGCACTTGGAGGAGGGTGAACCAGGAAACGAACCAGATAAAAATCCAAAACGGCGTCGGGGAAAACTCTGATGATTATCCAGACCTGAGGTGGGGTAAAATCCAAAAATAGAACTGAACTTTGTCAGATACCTCATCTAAGGCCTGTTTGCCATGGGTGACCCTACCAGAGACATAAAGCTTCAGACAACTTGGCTCCTCGGATCATTGGGACATTCAAACCCCTCCACTATTATCAATTATATAATCCCCCTCTACTTACTAATATCTGCCATTTGTTGACATGGAATACACAGTTTTGTTGATATTTTTATATTTGCTGACTGTACATGTTTTGTTTCAATTCTCAAATGCTACTCCATTTCATGTCACCAGACGGTGCTGTTGTAAAAGATGTAGAGCAACCACAGGATAGACTTTAAAAAATAAAATAAAATAAAACAAAAAATATATTATATATATGTATATGTGTGTATATATATGTATATGTATAAACAAATATGCATATATGTATATGTATATATATATATATATATATATATGTGTGTGTGTGTGTGCAGATATATATATATATATATATATATATATATATATATCATATATAGGGATATATATGCATATATATATATATATATATATATATATATATATATATATATATATATATATATATA